AGACCCACGCACATAAGGAAAGATCCCTTCCCTCCCTCCCGCCCAACCGCCTTCCGCAAGAACATTGCCGTCGCCAATCGCGACATCTTGCAATTCACGAATTCTCCTGTTGTACCGAAGCCGCGAACTAGCGAACTCTCCTGTTGTACCGCGAACTCGCGAACTCTTCTTCTTCTACTGCTGTACCGAAACTTTTTTTTCCCTGCCCTCGAACCTCGCTCTGATACCAACTGTTGAGAAAATTAGGGCGAAGACAAACAGTAATCGACACAAATCCTAAATCCTGAAAAACACAGAGATTTAACGAGGTTCGACAAAGATGCCTACATCCTCGGGAGCAGAGCGGCGACCTCCTTTTCAATATTCAGAAAAGAGTACATAATACAAGATTCAGCTCTCTCAAAGACCTAGGATTACAAACAGGTTTATTTATAATCATAGAGTAAACCCTACAGTACCATATGTAATTCACAAATTACCCTTGTACCGTATAGTCCCAACCCACATAACGTAACTACCCGATTTAGATAGATTCTTCCGCTCCGCTCCGCTCCATTTCGTTCCAGCATCTGTCTCTATATGGTATATGAGTCATATCATAACATTGAGTGAACTCTTAGCACACAACACTTATCATATACCTCATATATTTACTTAGCTTTTAAACATTTAGGGGTCCAAGTTTGAAATAAAGCACAAACTTTACTCTGTTGAACTTGATCTCATTTAAAAACAAGATAATTATCATATACCTCATTATCATCTTCGCTTAAGATGTTCAGCATAAGGTCATAATGTATGATACAGTTAAATGTAATGTTCTGATCAGTTCAAGTCTTTCAGAATAAAACCTTCCATACAAATATTGTAGGACTTGAATATAGCATTCTATTATGTAATTGCTCTATTTTATTTTATGAGAATTTACATGTACACCACACATTTTTATGTATTTACATATCTAATCTAACACCTAAAGTTTGATATTGGCATGTATTATACTTTAATGTCATAATGACATCAAAACATACGGGGACAATATGTATTCACTATAAAAATAGTAAGCATTAGTAGTATATTTGACATGATGTTAAAGATTAGTGTTTTATAAATAAATATTAGAGTTTAAATGCTAGATATGCAAATACACAAGAATTGTGTGTTAATTGGCATAATATTATATTGTAAATTTTCAGACAAATCTATTTTGGCTTTTAAACCAAGCAATATCGGAGCTTTCAGACTAACCCACTGCAAACCATAGAGGTATGAAACCAAGCTTTCAGACAAAGACTTTCGCCATGGAAAGGAAATATAGAAGAGGCTCTGCTTCTAATGTGAACTGAGAAGTCTCATTCATTCAAAACTTCCACAGCCTGTTCATACTGAAGGGGAAAAACATAAAAAAAAAAAGAAAAAGAAAAGAAAACTGGAAAGCAGCCATAATAAATAGCTCAGCTCACATGATCACACACTACAGTCCGACAATATAATAAATGGGGCATTTACATAGCTGCCATACAATTCTTATATAGTTACATATTTAACACCTAAACTTTAGTAATTACATGCATGCCATTCAAATCTTTAAGATAAAATAAAAAATGCCTCCATCACTCCCTTTATAAAAGTGAAATACACCTTTTCATGCATATTTTTATGACACCAAGGTGTTATAAGTGTATATATCAAACTTTAGGAGTTAGATATGTAAATACATAAGAATTTAATGCCCCACAAAGCCACAACTCCTACCCACCTTAGCTTTTCTAGTTGACCAGTTAATGTATTGCTGCACATTCCCAGCGGCCAAAAGTCCCCATTTTTCAATTAAAAAAAGTAAAATACTGCTCAAGTATTTTTAAAGCCATATACTTTCTTATATATATTAATACTGCTCAACTCAATGAGGCATGCACTGCAGTTTCAACGAAAAAAAGGAACTTTGCTGCTGTAAAAGAATCAAAATGCTGTTTTGATTAATTGCCCAATTTCTTAGAATATCATTCACTACAGAATAACAAGAAGCATCTAATCAAAATAACAATTTACAAAAGCAAGCAAAATTTATCGTTAATTCCAATTTAGAAGTTTGATTAATAAAACTGTAAAGCGATTACAATGTTCTAATGTTCCATTTTCAAACCAGGTAAATATGCAATATATTTTAAACCAAATACTAAACAGATTTAACCAAACAAATACCCCTTCTTCCCCATTACACTTGCATCAAATAAAACGGTCGCTTAGCAAATAGAAACTAGAATTTAAAATAAATACTAACAGGAAGATTTAGTAATTAGAGATGGCATCCAAAGCAATTACATGTCCTGGGCAGAAAAGAGCAGAAGCCAAAGGGCCTATTTGGAATGTTGCAGCTGATTGCATAGCAACAAGGAGAAGGAAGACAGAGGCCCTTTGGGCCTCCGCAACAAGTACAAAGAGCACATATCTGGAAGCTGCTGAGCCGCCTTCGGGTGGTCTCGTTAAGCATCAATTGCTGGAGCCCCAAAGCCGGAGCCACCGGTCTCATCTCCGCCATTGCTGATGCCTTGGAACCTTCTGTTTCCTGCGCAAAAATTGGAACTTTTTCATGAGAACTGGTCAAGATCGGGGAAAATAGCAATAGTAAAATGAAGATGGGAGGAGAATTTGGAGCGGATGAAAAGGGGGAAGACTTACAGCAGAGAAGCTGAGTTTGCTGGAGATGGTAGTCATGAAAAGGAGGAAAATAAGAGGGAAACCCCAGGAGAAAGAAGCCATCTTTCTCCTATTGCTGGACTTCGAGGGAGAGGAGGGGGGGATAGGGATGGTTTTGTATTGTATTCGGTACTGGGAGTTCACGTTAAAAAGAAAGTTTTTAGGAGTTTGAAAGGGATAGTTGGAGAGGCGGAAAGGGGCGACGAAGAAAGGGTACTGGGAATGGAACGAGAGACAGTGTGAGAGAGGGTTGTGCGGCTCAGTTCTTGCCCATTGTCCCGAGGAGTAGGGCTGTAAATGAAGTAATGCACTCGACGAACAACACAAACTCCGCTAATTTGTTCACATCAGTTAATTATATAAGTGTAATTTTTTTAAAACTGAGAAATAACTCCAACTACGATTAATTTGTTCAATTTAGTAGATAAATAAGTATATTTTTTTCAAAACACAAGGTTGATAGATTTAAATTTGAATTTAGTCCAACTGATTTGTTAATCTTTATGATCAAATTCATTGATTGTTTAATAATAACTTATTAAATGATGATAATGTATTAATGATTTATATTTATATGATATATTATTTAAATAAAAATTGATTGATTATAAATTATTTAATAATATTGATATGTGTGTCTAGGTTGGTGATGATCAAGTAATGAATTATCATCTTAGCGTTGCACGAAAATTTAACATTCACTCAGTTAATTAAAGAAAAGTAGAAGATGACACCTCAATTTTTATATTGAAAACTCTGGAGCAGAGAAAAAACCATCAAACTTAGCCCGGGTAAAATAATGCACTATGAATGGTGAGTAAACAAGTTCACTCTTCGCTTGAATTAGAAGATGGAGTTACAAAATTGATCATTATAAATATACAATAGTAGTTCATTGATAATAGTCATAGTGTGGTTGTAAAGAATGTTGTTCTTAGAGGTAGCATGCTCCAATAGTTGCAGTTGATTGTAATGGAAGGGGGTCCGCCCCTCGGTCAGACTATGGGTTGATCGACAATCAACCTTTTATATATATAT